ACAACAATTTCTTATGGTCTTTATTTCTGATCATGCCTCAATAAGCCAAGCTAGAATTGGGTCTTGCTACTTGTAATATTCTACATTTTGGAGAGTGCATTAGGCACATCTGCACATTTCTCATGGATTTCTATGAAAGCTTGATTTCCACTTTTTATAGGCACAAACTTTGCAGCATTAGCAAAACACTTTTAAATAGTTCCTTATTAAACACTTCCCGGTTGAAACAGCTGCACAGAGTAAGCCATATAGAATGGGGTAAAATTAATAAACACAACCTAGGAACAAAAATGTAAACAAGTAACTTTTTTTAAGCAACAAAACCAAAATTCACAAATTGTTATTACCTCTCCCCCGTTCCACTGTCCCATGTGGATTCTATGAGGTCTAATAGAATGAGCTTATTGGCCTTTTCTTCACTAATTGCATCTTTCTCTTCTCTTCAGTGACTATTTTCATATTTTGCATGAACTTAATATTTTAGACCTTTGTTACTTCACCAAATTTGGTAAAAATTGGCCAACACTTCAAAAGCTTTATTGGGGTACAGAGAAAGATGCAGAGAACACAATCACAAAAGGTCAATTTTTTAATAGAAGTAGGTTAATGGGAAAAGGAACTCCAAACTACCACTTCCCATTAGCATGAGAGCCCCAGCAAATTTAGCAAGCACATTTCTACAGTCTTCTACTGTCCTGTTTCATTGGGAAAGCAGTGATAGATGCATCTTACTTTTAGGTAAGGAAATCTGGTGTGCTGTGGTTGATAGAAAAGACTGGTTGCCCCTAGCTTCTCACCAAAAAACTGAAAGTAGGACAGAGCTGTAGAATCAGTGGTTCGAAAAGAGCTCCAGAAACGCATGAATGCTCTAAAACAAAGGGAAGAATTTTCTGTTGCAGACAGGGGAATTTTCATTGCCTTGATCTAAGCCTTTGCATAGAAGTAGCAGAAGGCCTATTTGATATGGTACCTTGAAAGCTAATTTCTTTTTAAAAAAAAATCTATTTTGAGTGTCCTTGCTGTACACAGACACAGATTGGAAACATTGCAATCATCTATCCAGCTCTGACATATTAGATTATTTGTGGCTTTGCAGCATAAAACAGATTCTGTGACTTGTGATGCTAAGCCATTGGCCTCGGATAATAGCCAGCTCGGGTTATTCCATTCTGCTGACCTAAATTCCTCTCAAACAGTGAAGTGGACACAGTATCATCCTTCACTTCCTGTCCCAAATTGTGGCACAGCTTCTCTTCACAAGCACAGATATCCTACACTGCTCCTCAGAGCTGATGGCTAAGCCAAGAGTGGTAGGAATGGACCCACCATGGTTAACAGTGATTGGGTAAATTCTGAGATCTCCATCCTAAACCAAGTTCTGCCACTGACTTTCTTTTTGATCTCCACCAAGTTGCTTAAATTCTTTTTTCTATTCAATAAATGGGAGATCGCATGTGTAAAACCAGATGAAAGTGGACATGAACGTATGGGGTTTTTTTCTTGTATTTATCATTTGTGCATGTACTGTTTTCTGCAATTTGACATCAGTGCCTCCCCTACCAGGGACACTGACAAACCGCTCACCTGGATCCAGTTGTCATTTGAAGATGTAAGGAGCTATTACAACTTAATTGGAAGGGGAGTCTCTAAGAAAACCCTGCCTCTAATGTGTTGTGGAATTCTTTGCTGGTAAAGAGAGGAGTCAGGCTCTGCTGTTTCCTTTTGAGACAGCTGACATTGGTTCTGGGAGCTCCATCTTATTATAAAAACATTTTAAGAATAAAAAATCTGCTGAAAATGGGGCACTGGGTGGAGGTGCTTGTGTGCGTAACTGCCCAGAACATTGCCCACACATAGCAAAGCTGGCATCAGACTTCTGGGAACCAAGTGTGGGTGGGTAGTGAGTGTACAAAAGCATATTCTGATGGGCTTCACAAGCTGGAAGGGCTGTACCATTCCCACATGCAAACAGTCCTGCTGTCAGCACCAGGAACGTCACTCAGCCAAGCTTCTTCCCTCCCCATCATAGAAGAGCTGCCACCTACCCAAAGGACACGTTTTTTTCAAGAGATGAGTGTTTCCCCAACACCTCTCAGCAATCAATGAAAGTAGGTTAAATTAAAAAAAGAATCTTGACGCAGTTTTGGTAACAAGATTGGGTAACATTTTGTGCTAAATCTTGGATAGCAAGCAGAAAGCCTGCTAGTATTCACAAACACTACTCCTGTCCTAAACACCTGTGGTGGCCCCATTACCTCACCCACACCAGGGCAACCAGGAATAATCCCAGAGAGGCTGTGGGAGCACAGTGCTATTTCAGAGATCTAATTTGGTCCTCTATTGTTTGACACTGTGCAAAGATGTGCTGCAGGGCAGGGTGCATGAAAAGTACCAACTTATTTACCTACTCCAACTACTGTGGAGTAGGTAAATAACTTCAATGCTTGGATTTTTAACCTGAGTGAAGCAGGTAGCTACGTATGAAGTCTGTAGCAGGATAAGAGGCTTTTTTTACAAGCACGTGAACAGTCTAACACAACGCGAGTCAGCTAATGAGGGATCAAAGCTTCTGTCCAGAATAGATAAGTTGAGCTCCAGGCAATTAGCTATGTTTGTGACACTCTTATTGACACAATAAACTGGTGTGTCATCTACTTCACACAGACCAAAATGATCCCATAAAGTTTTTATCGCAAATATAAAGGTCTTGCTTTTTAATGCTACTGTAAAATTCTTGTTTGGGTTTTTGCAAATACTGTGAATAATTTCTTCCCTCCTGCTATTGGGTGATCTGAGAGCTGTGCTGCCAATCAAGAGTTGGCTGCATTCTAGACAGGTAAAATGCCATCAATCCAATCACTAATATGAGGATGACAGACGCTGTAAAAATAGGAAACATTGTAAAATATGTTTATGGTGAGGGATCCTCTCAGTTTGCAGAGAACCCTTTCACTTGTTTGGCCTGTAAAGATTCTCACTGAACTTTCAAGAGACCCCTGCAGCTGCCCAGGAATTCCCGTTTCAACAAGTTACTGCTGATTCAGCTAGCGCAACTCATGTTACAAGGTGTGATTCATAAACATGGTGCATCATCAGTGGCCTTGGAAGACATGTTCTTCCTTTGGCCAGTAACAAATTTTTTTTAACATTACTTGCTTCCATTTTTGTACAGCTGCTTTTTCTAGTTACATGACCTGATAAAAAATGAGCACTGCCTACAAAAAGGCAGGCAGACTCCACAAGTAGGGGCTAATTTCTAGGTCTTGAATGGCTGAGAAAATGGTGGGACTATCCTTCCCTGTTGGAAGCTGGTGAACTAGGTTCTTGCCTCAATGTGAAAAGGAAAAACACCAAGATCTGTGAGCTTAATCCCTCTCCCTGGGACTGACCTGCTGGTTGACTTCCAGGAAACCAATGAGACTTTAGCCTCAGCCACATGACCCAGGAACCTCTCTATTTGTCAGCAAACAGAGGAAGAGTTCATTAACATCTTTCTAGTATCCAAAATTATTTCCTACACTGCTAAATGCTAACATAATGCTATGCTACCTCTAACAAATCCCTCCCAACATCAATGTGGGTGATAGGGACCTGTATTGAGTCTAACAGGAAAACCAGGAGATGCTCAAATCTCTTTGGCTCCACTGAAATCGTCCTCCTAAAAAAAAAAAATATATATATAAAAAAAGTGTCTCATACTGAATCCCAAATCTTCATAATAAAAATGTGAATTCATGTGACTTTGTGTCAGTCTGAATTTGTACTATTGCAAAGCAACTCATGTTGGCATCACTGGGTCAAAGAGGCTGACGCTTCAGGCTCTCCTGGCAATCATACTCTCTCTCCCATACCAAGCCCCTGATGAGGTTACCAGGAGCACCAAGACTGACCCCTGGAGAAGAGCTTGAAGAGATGAGACCTGGTCTTAAGCATTTTTTTCAGTTTAAATCTGCTTTTGTCCTATTTCTTTAGGCAAGCTACCAATTGCATTTGCTTTCTTAAACTTAGTTCAGCTGTTACATCTAATATCAAACCCAAGAAGAATTTCGGTCTAAAATATTAATTTTATATTCTTCAAAAAGCCACATTTTGGTCACGCTCCATTTCATATACAGATTGAGCAAAGTCAATGGCAAAGGCATTTCAGGAACCTATACATCTTTGGCATTCACAACACACAATTCATTACAAACACTGACAGCTATAAAATTTGCTCCCATGCAATGCACCTAAAAACGTTCTCTTTACATGATGCAACACAGACACAATCTGCTTTAACTCAATTGTATGTAACAAAAAAAAAAAAAAGGGTCCCAAAAGCTTTTCTCAGTTGATATTTTAATTGTCAGCAGCTCCTACTGTCTTGCTAGTTTCAGGTTATTTGTTTCCCTGTAGTTTGGCCACCAGTGCCAGCGAGTGGGTAGCCAGCTTAGACTTACAAGGATGCCAGTGCATAGTACAAGGCCTTACCTGTGTTCACTAGCATTTGAAGCTTAGCAGACAGTGAAATCAAGCCTGACATGGAGGAGAGCTTTTGGAATCCTGTCCTAGCACCTTCAAGAACCCTTGAAACAGCAGTAGGAATAAAAAAAAGACTCTGAGAATGTGCTACTATTCCAGTACGACAAGCAAATGCAAAGCACACCAGCAATGCTGTTGCTCCAGCATTCTTCCACCATCCTTTTTCTATACCATCTCCCTGCAAGGACCGTGCTTGGGTATTTTACACAGATCACTTCACAGGTAGGACACTCTCTGCTCTTATTGTTTCTGCTTTTCAAAGAACTGCATGCTTGAGAAACAAACCAAACCATCAATAAAAAGCTGTCTAATTGCCCAAAGCCATGAGTTTGCAATCTGCTGATGGCTCCTCTTTCACACACAGGTGTGATATTGTCACACAAAGGCTTCCTGCCTGTACAGAACACCAGCACCTCCGGGGGGAGTAGGGCCCCCCAATTTACACAAATGTAGTGAGAAGAAAAATAAAGGTGTCTTACCCACATGGGTGATAACCGTAGTCAGTCGCTGGGTGAGCTCCTGATGTGACATCTCTTCTTCTTTTAACCAAAAAAGCATTTCACACAGGGAACTGCACAGCATCCAAAAAAAGATGCACCCAGAGTGGGAGGCTGCACACTCACTGCCTCGCTTGCACACAAAGCGAGGACCACTCCCACGGCACGGCCCTTCCAGCTCTCACATCTTCTGCCGGCTGCTCACCTCTTCCAATTTGCTGCCGTCCGTGCATGGACCTAGAAAAGCTCCTTCTAAAAGAGGATTTTACCCCCCTTGACAACAGGAAGGGAGCAGGAGAGGGGAAATAAAAAAGGAAAAACAAGCAGGCGAGTTGATTGCTTATGGCTTTTTTTCTCCCTTCTCCCGCGGATGAGGCAAAGGATAAAGAGACAAACCAGCAGGCAGATACCTTCCTCCAGGGAGACTTTTGGATGGTGATGCTGTGAGTCAGGGAAAAATCCTGGAGGTAGGAATGGCATCGGGAGGAGTGGAGCTGGCAGGAGAGCTCTAACAGCAGCAGCTGCTGTGCGACGCTCTCCTCACCAGCGTGCCCGGGAGCCGCGATCAACCCGCCCGCAGGCGCCGATGCTCCCCCTTGGCCCCTGATGCCTTGCAGCTGTCCCCAGGTGGAACCCTGCAATGTCCCCAAAGACCTTCCTCCCACCCCCTCTAAAAGCCCTTGCCTGGCAAATGGGGCTGCCGCATACACGGAGGGGGTCAGTGGGGATTTTAGGGGTGTTGTGGCCAGAGGCTTTGCTGCCCGCCTGCACGGACAGGATCCCCGAGATCCTGGTGTGTCTAAATCCACAGGACCCTCCCCAGCTGCACACGTACAGGAAGGGTGAATTCAGCTGTGCCCGTGGGCAGGCAGGCACTGGTGGACAGCAGTGGGCCAGAGCAGGTCTGTGGGGGCAGCCGCGGGGTGCCAGGGACACAGCTGAGCCGTGCACGGGTCCGTGGCTGCCGTGGGGCAACTGGCTGCCGAGCCACGGGAGAGCTTCATCCCGGCTACAGACCCCAGCTGGGATCTCAGAAGAGGAAAAGTGAGGGAGGCAAGAAAGTGAGAAGGAGCAGGGCATGCCAGACTCGTGTGCCTCCATTCTCTCTTTGGACCTCCTCCTTTAAAGCTTACCTAAAGCTCCACACAAGATACTTCTGGAAACAGGGAAAATTTATTACACATATAAAGATGAAGAAATAAAATAGAGAAGGGTCCAGCTGCCTCCAAGATCTGCTCTATTCCTGCAGAATGGATTCAGCTCTAATACCAGATTTCCCTACCCATCCATAGGATTTTGCTTGGGTCCACCTCTCCAGATGTGCCAAAGAACATGATAACATGTATACACAAAGCTGGAGCTGTGGACTCACTGGATCTTAAAACACAATTAGTGCATCAGTCCTGGTGTTGCAAAAGGTTTTATCTACCTCTGTGATGGGAAAATCCTATAATCAGCTGACTGACCTACAAGCCAGTCCGAGTATCTGTGCTGTCATCCTCATTTCAGGATGATTGACCAACTGTGCTGAAAGGTTTCTTGCATACATCTGTTGAGTCAGTTTAACAGCAAGTCTGCCTGAAAACAAGTGAGGAGGATGACTTCAGAGCCACCCACCTGCTAACATTTTGGGATTAAAGCAAAAGACACATTTTTCTAAGATCCTCTTTTTACTGCCCATCTGGGCAGTAAAGTTCAAACTCTAAAGACCTTGACTAATGTTAAAAGGAATCCCTCAACTAGGGAAAAGATGATATTATCAGGAAAAAACATATGGGAAGCAGACTGACACCCAGACATAATCCTTGGAGGGGTCTGAAAGATCTGGGATGCTTTATTTTGCTCTTGGAAGGTCACAGATTACAGGTAGGAACACGGAACTGGAAAAGTCATCATGTTTCCAAACACTTAACAGATTTTTTTTTTTCTTTTCCTCTGCAGGCAGAGACACAGTATAATCCCATTCATAAATGAAGTTATCTTCACTGAGAAACAGTGTAGATGGTTTGCTCTCACTACTCCTACAGCAAGGCTGTTCAAGAACATCAAGGATAGCTAAGAGCCTTTGTTTTACTTCTAGCTAAATTCATTCTCAGTTATTTTAAGACCATATGCTCCTGAATAACAACATTGTTATTCAGCCCCAGTAACTGTAGAAACGTGTATATTTGCTATTTTAAGACCCTGTTTCTCTTATTATTTGTTCTTGCTATGGTAATCTGCATTCCAGTTTTTCACTGTACCTTCAATAATTTTTGAACCTGTTGGTCAATTGCAGTCCATCTCAGGAGACAGAAATTAGTTCTTACAGGTTCATTGAAGATTAGCAAGGTGCACAAAGCCTGAAAGGGGAAAGGATGTAGTAGGGACTGAATAATTATGTTTTGTGGCTGCTCCCTGCCCATCTTATACGGTGGGATGGGTTACATAGGATTCAGTCAGAGTTGAGGGTGCTGTCCTATGATGTGAGTTATAAGGAACAAAAGGGGGAAATTGGGGTTATTTTTGGTGGGAGGGTTTGGGCTGCAGGGTGCAGCCATGGGATAGGAAACTCCACTAGTTTTACCAGTCATGGGATGATTTCTTTACACTGCCAAGATTCAGTGGTGCCTGCATTAAAAAAAGGCTGCTGTTCGTAGTGTGTATTGCCATTACAAATTCCAAAATGGAAGAACCACAGGGACTTAACCAAGTCAGAAATACTACAAAAGCACTGGTGATCCACAGTTCAAGACCCAAGTTGAGGGGGGGGGAAACAGGAACCTGGACTATAGAGATCTCTTGGAGACAGAGAGAAATTAAAGCCCTGTATTTGCCACTCAAGGAATGGCTTAAAGATGCTGAAGCAAATTAGTCCATCACTGTGATAGTAACAATTTCCAGTGCTGCAAATATCTGTGAAATTGAGCCAGCACTTTTACTACAAATACAGACTCCCTCTGAAAGATAAAAGCCCTTGCTGATATATATGTATTAGAGGTACAGAGGATGATGATTTACATTTCAGGCATGAGTCAAGGTCTCACCAGAAAGCAGGGCCAGGGGCTGTACAAACACCACAATTCAACTATTAAAACAATGGCCAACAGGCAAAAGAATTTGATTTCTCCATAGAGTGACAGCCTGACAAATTGCCAGCCATTTATTAGATCCTGAATCAAACAGCTGAGGCCCAAGCATTTTAAGCAATTTTAATAAACAGTGAATTGCACATTGCAAACAAAAAAGGTTTACAAGTTCCTATGGCCTGGCCAGATGGGAGAGGAAACTCTCACAGCAAAAAATATAAATAGATCAATCTAATCTTTCCTCTTTTCATTTTATGTAGCAGTATATCTCTTTCTTGTGTCATTAAAATCATTCAGCCAACTGAGACTGAAGGGCTATTAAAGATCAAAATGAGATCCATTCATGAAACTAGCCTATCTTCTTCACTGTATTGATTATCCCCATTTCCCCAGTCCTACATAACCTTTATAGGCTAATGCATCACTTAGTTTCTCAGGAAAATCTCCTTCCAGAACAAGATCACAACCTTCTGGTGTACAGAGTGCATCTGAAGATACTTTGACACCAGAAAAAAGTCAGGCTGATGAAATAACAGAAAAGTTTAGAATCCCTTTCCCAATTTTCTTCTTTTGCAAACAAGCTACTTTGGTATCACACCTCTTCCTCCTTTAACTTTTGTCTATAGACTCTCTGATCTCCATATCAAAGGCTGGGGCTTTATTACTCACTGGCAAGAACTGTAACACTGTTGGCACAATCAGGAGAGGTTATGACACTGTCACCACTTCTGACTGGTTACGGCAGTACTTTAGATCTGCAGCACATTTCCATTAGCAGAAGAAACTGGTAAATGAGTCAGATACTTCTTTGATGCATACCTACAAAGAAGGCACAGAGAGAGCTGTTTCCCTTCTGTAACATCAGTCACATAGTAAAGGAAAATAACACTCCATATTTCAAGTTTTCTTACTTTTGTTCTTTTTGGAACACTTCATTCAACTGTGCTCTTGCTTAGCTTTTAAGAGGGTCACAGTGCTAGTGCTTCTCTGGCTGTTCTTGGCTTTCCATTGTCCTCTCAGGCAGCTCCTGTGACAAATCTGGGCTTCTCTGCTCAAACTTGCATGTACACTTTTTCTCCCACACACAGCTCCCCCAGCAATGCCTAGGTCTCTGCCTTCAAGCCTCTTGCCTAAACTTCACAAAGCCTGACCTGCTTTGCCTCAGATGCCATTTCAGCTACTTGAAAAGGAGCACAGCTGTTTCTAACATCCATTCTGAAGGAAAAGAGGTTGCTGAAGACACTAGTTTTAGCAAAGTGCTCTGCTCCTCTCCATTTCTTCCTTCCCCATCATAAACCTTTTTGTCACTATCATTTACATCAATCGTTCACTGTCTGTGCTCCAGAACAGCTGTCCTGACACAGACTGGGACAGTAGCCCATCTGTGAGTAGGACCATTAATATACCCTTAGGAAAGAAAGTATGAAACAGCCTTAAAGAGAGAGAGAGTTCTCCAGTATTCCCCTTTGCAACAATCTGTAGTTCATGGCCTTTCTGATCTTAAGTTTGCATTTGCCTGATCATATTTAATACCCCATTTCTTCATTAATCTATCTCATAGTTTTTTGAAATTCTGTGTATGTGTAAATTCTGACAGCCATAAAATTTGGTAGCAAGCAGATTTGCAATTTAAATATGCACTGTGTGAAAAAAAAATCCTTCTTCTGGTTTTAAATATGAAGCCTGACAGTTCAATTTCAGGCCTCTGGTTCCTGCATCTTCAGAAGGAAGGGATAATTCCCTATTCACAATATCCATCTCAGCCATGACTTTTCATACAGTGATCATATCCCGCAGTCACTCTTTCCTGAGCTGAGATGAATGCTGTCCTAGTTACTATTTCTTCCTAAAAAAATAAGCCAATTCATACCTTTCAACATTCTTGCCATCTTGCTTAGAACCTTCTCTCGTTTACGCAGCTTGGACAGTGAAAACTGCCAGTTTCAGTCTGCTCTGTGTTGCTCACATAATTCTCACAGAACTCTTCCAATGCTGAAAGCTATTAGATAAATATTTTCTGTTAACCTTTTGAGAAGATCCATATATACCTATTTCTATTGCATTAATTTATTTCAGCATTTTCTATCATCTTTTAAAACAAAGCCTTAATTTTGGACAAAGCTGTTGGACAGTGATCCTGTAATTTTTAGGGTCAGCTTCCTTTCTAAACTCTATGTAGTTTATTCTAAGGAAGCCACTACTCCACTTTCAGTGTCATAAAAAACCCCGAGGTCATCTCCCAGGAAACATTAATGTCAACTGGCTGAAGATTTAAATTGATGGAGGCATGGGCAGGTCTCCAGGGCAGCAGGCAGAGT